CAGCTTAAAAGAAAAAGCTTCCAGTTTCCTCCAAGAAAAGAAGTGAACAGAAGGGTAAGCACACAGCAGAATCCATTGGATTAGCCTTAAGCTTTCACAAATATTTATATGCAAATAACTATTTTTTCAAAAGCTAAGAAATAATTGCTGTTGTTCACTTAGACACAATTTCAATGCATCTGTCTTGTAAGTTAGGTACCTCGGGCTAATCTGTGCTTGCAAAATCAACTTCCCTTTTACCAAATATGCATACTTCAGCAAAGGCTTAATTTCTCATATGTTCATAAACATATGAAATCAGTTGAGGATGCTCAGTAGCCCTAAAAGGAACTGTTCCACATCCATGCACCACTTACAGGCGAAGCCAAGACATACCCCCATCTGTAACAACACATCTGAATCTCTATGTGAGGCCAGGACTTCCATCTCATAACTTACATCAGCAAGTGAGCAGAAGTCAAGCTCTCTCTCACGCTGTCTTGCCATGCCTTGCAAACCACCCAACACAATTCTGGGTGGTCAACCCAGTTCAAATAGTTGGTAAAAAAACAATGACAAAGGACTTATCCCTTAAAAAGATGTGGCGATGGAGATATTGGCTTAATGGTCGGTCAGCTTTGCTGGCTCATAACCACTAGTTAAACTAATAATTCAAGTCTCAGTGGAGTCAACTGCATTCTTCTAACATATTTATGCCGAGTATCAGAAATCCAATTGCAGGGAGGTCTTGCACACAATTCTTTAAAAACCATGCCTTGCCATCCCTGAAAACATATATTTTTTTTTCCTACTGCTTTGCCCTTTGCTATGCATCTCATGGCTCCAGAACTTGCAACATTTCACTGTGAGCAGACATTACCTATTCACAGGTATCTGACATACCTTAATGTGATAACTGCACAAAATGGAAGTCACTGTTACTGGCAAACTCACAGACATTTCTAAGTGAACAAAAGCAAAGAAGAATCTGTGCAAATATACCTACGAAACAGTCAAATATCAAAGTTGGCTTTTGAACACTCAGATCAGAGAGGGGAAGATTCTGTTGGGAAAAACAGGAGGTGGAGAGGACAAGGGAAGTCTGCAGAAGGAAAAATGTCCTTGGCCAAAAAAGCAGCTCAGAAGCTCACTATTTGAACCGTTTTTCTCTCCATTTCACTCCTTACTCTTTTTCTCTCTGGTGCTGTGGTTAAATGTTCTGGGCATGTATTTATTTATAGCATTTCTCAACTAATAAATAAATAAGCAAATTCAGGCTTATTTCAAGTAGTCAAAAATGTTAATTATTCTGAGAAACTGGAACTTCCTATAGCTCACTGCCTTCTAGGTCAGTACTCTGTGCTCTTATTCCAACCCTAGAAACAGACCAGAAACAGTAGTAAGTGTTTGGACAAAACGTCAAGGAGTTTCTGTTGAAGAACTGGTGACTAGCAGTCCTGAAAATCTGCAAAAACTTATTCATAATTTCATAGACCAAATTAAACCTAATTTATGTGGTAAGATTCTTGTTTATGAACCGTGCTTATGAAATAGAGGGTCACGTGCTGAGGAATGTTAACCTGCTAATCAGATGAAATGGCACAAGCAAATAAGGGCTCTCATGCACTTCTTGGCATGGCTTCGAAGAACTTGAACCTTCTCAGAGGTTCCTGACTTACCCCTTTAAAACGTGTTGGGAAAACATTCCTGGCTGAAACTGTGATTCCACCTTAAGAAGGCAACAATAAGGCAAATTCTTGAGTTCTGGCCTTGCTGACAACAACTTCTAAGAATGCAATTTCAGCCCAGAAGTTTTCTTTGACCTGCATTTCCGCAAAGCCAAGAATGCAAATGCACACTTAACCAAAAATCTGAGAGGGAGAGGCCTTTCCTTTTGCGGTGCATTCCAATGAAACCTTTCCTTTCGCCTCAACCTCCTTCACAAAACACATGTAATGAAGGTGGGAAACATCTCTATATCTGTCTCTCTATGCAAGCCAACTGGCATATACTCAAATGCTCTCCTGCAGCTGCTTGCTGAGTGCCATCCATCACAACTGCACATGCTGACCCTGAGTACATACTGAAACCTGTATATTAGAGCAACTCTGTTTCTTCCACCTTTCAGAATTTACCAATATTAAGATTTAGCAGTATTACCAACATACCATCTTACAAATTACATAAATTACAAAATTCCCAGGAACGTAAACACTCACCTAAGCATTTGGGGCAACACTGTCCTGCAGGAACGTGACTGAGGTGCTGGGGACACGAGAGAATGGGGCAGACTTCTTGGATGCACTGGGTCCTGCCACCCTGAAGGAAAATAGGCTCATTTAGGATAAAGCAAAATGTCAGGATGACACGTCAAGTAGACACACCCACACAGACTGTTAACACAGACTGTTAAAAGCTTTAGCCAAAGCAGTTTTTGCCAAAAGAAATTTCTTCTTGCATCACACACGCGTGTGGAATGTGTACAACTGTCCGTTAGCACTTCCTGCATCACTTGCAGTAACCTTGGATTTTTTCATTCTCTCAATGTTGAAAAAAAAAAATAAAAAATAGTGTCTTTATTTCTTGGTTTGGAAGTGAAAAAGAAAAACAAAAGAATAAAACCACCATCCATTAACCTTTCTGGATGCTCAACAAAGTTATTGAGCAAGTTTTATTTCTCCCCTCCTGTGCCACACCCTTATAGGCTTGTCTGGAATGGGGATTAAGTATTGAAGCTGGATGAGAACAGGTGTTCTTCTGCTATGTCCCTGATTTCAGAAGTCAAATAAGCCAAAATAATTTAAGAAAGCACAATTTTGTTAGGCACTCAATCCAACCATGCAAACCCAGGCAGCCTGTTGCCTGTTTCCTTTGGAGGACTGAAAAAATCAAAAGAGCACGTGAAATTTTCAGAATGAATGTGGCAAAAAAATAAATAACCTGTGCTAGATACATCTTCATGAGCCAGTAAATGTCAGGTGAAAGAGAGACAGAAAGAACAGCAAAGAGAAAAGCACAGATATTTCTATAAGATTAACTGCAGTTAATCAGAAGAGATCTTCGTTGTCATTCTGCTGTGTCAGTACTTCACCATAAGGTATTCTCCAAGCATTCAACTCAGGACTCCATCAAAATGTGCTTCAAATGCTCATAAGAGACGTCCAGGTTATTACACTTCAAAAATCAGCTCCCATTTGCCTCAGCAAGAGAAGGCAGTCTTTTTCATCTAGCCACCCTGCCTCATTTATCACTCAGAGCTGCACTTATCCTAACAATAAGCTTTGTGTTCCTGGATGCTGAGACGGAAAGCTTATGAACAGTCTCCTCCCACACACATGCTGGATGCGTCTTGAAGCTCCCTAGGGAAAGATGGAAAAACCTGTTCATTTTGAAGAGCTCTGTGCCTGAAATGATACGCCATTCCACTCCTAATGGCCTCAGTGAATCACATAAAAGCTTTTACATACGGGTAAATCCACATATGCACTATTACACAACATGCTGACTGTACCCCCATTCTATAATAAGTTTTCAGGCACTGAAGTCTACCTGTCCCGTGGGGCTACCAAAGCATCCTGAATGCACATGGCTAAGGGCTGCTCATAATTCATTCACTGCTGCATGCAGAAACACAGAGGTTATTGTAGACTGAAATGACTGCTCTAAATTAAGGGTCAGACCAGAAACTTGACAAAATGAAATGAATTCTTCACTGAAGTTACGATGCTCTGGGAATAGTTCTGTGAGAAGAGACACAGGTGCAGGATGAGAGAATAAATATCAAAGAAGGTCTCTCCGGTCATTCTGCTCAGGGAAAAAGGCTAAGAGAAGACAAAGTTCAGACTCTGGTGATAACTCAATTGCAACTGAGTTATTGGAATTGCAAAGGAGGCCGCAGTCAGGTACGAGGATCAGGAATACAACCACAGAAGATAAAGCAGTGCTCCAGAATAAGTTGATTGCAGATCTTTTCTTGCAACTCTGCTTCTGTATTTAATAGTCACATGTCCCATGCCTCTACAGAAATGTTCTAGAGTCTTGCTTCTCTGACAGATGGAATCAAAGCTCAGCCTTACAAAATACTGAGGCATTGCCTTACAGTCTGTAGCATAGACTTTTTAAGAAATATATACAAAATGCCCAGGATAACTAGTGAGTGAAAAACATGAACTATTTCTTCATTTCTGTCTTTTGTTTACAGCTCCCTTTTACACCAGCAGTGATAACTGAACCAGTGCCTCCTCTGCACAGAACTTTTGTTTAAGTCCAGTTTCATCTCTCTTCTTACCTCACTGTTACGCTCAATTCCAATTGTAATGCTGCTAGAATTTTAACAGTGAAACAACTTTCTAGCTCATTGCTGCCTCAGGTATGCTCTTCTAAGTTTAAAAACCATCAGAGGGTATATATTCAAGAAGAACCAAGTAAGACTAACCCTACTTGCCCTTAAAAGTATTTAGCTTTAGTAATCAATATTCACAAAGTAAAAAACTCAGAGTGCTAGTTCACAAAGCAGGATTACCTAACGTTGCCAGTTCCTTATATGGCATGAAATAGAATGGTACAGAAAACACAGTGTAACAAAAGTTCATTAAAAACGCAAGGGAAAAAATAAATCCTGAGAGCAAAAAGACTGGCTCCAGAAAACATAAACCAGGATAAGAATTCCATAGTTAACACCTTGCCTCCTTCACCTCCCAACTACATCCACAGCTTTTAGCTCACATTTCCCTGTTGAGTGTAGCATCTCCCAGGCAGCCAGAATATTCCAGGTCTGAAGCAACACTTGCCAGTAAAATCAAACCGGAATTGGAAGCCAGTGCAGACCAATAAAGTACAAGCGACATCTGCTTCCTATGAGAAATACTATTCAAGAGCTAGGCAAATAAATTCTTGAGTGATAGTTACATGAAGCCTTAATCAGGATACTGCTGCAGTCCACAGTCTTCTGGAGGTAATGGATTTCATAAGAAATCTGAGGTCTAGAGTGCAGAGGGTCACCTTCAAAGGTAGAAACAAAAACTTTATAATCCCTGCCGTCATCTCATACCTGCAAAACAAAGCAAGAGGATCCCTGGAACTGGCTTGGAGGGCAATATGGGCTATCATGTCTCAGCAGCTTCCTCACAGACAGGGGAATGAGGCAAAGATGGACCAGCACTTTCTAACTCTCCCATGAAATTCCCCTCTTTGAGAAAGAGAACTGCCTTAGTCGTTCCTAAAAAGGAATCATGGAGCTATTCAGCTGCCTTTCCATCCACTTCTGACCCTGACTTTGACTATGATGCTTTGCTGTTCAACAGAGACACAAGAAACTCAGCAGAGACAAAATGTACACAGCCATGCTGTGTCAGACTTTGGTGGGGACATGTGATGACAGAGAGGGTGTAGTTTTGGGACAGGCCACACACACACACACACACACACACACACACACACACACGTAGTGTGTATGTAGCCTGTGTGCTAGGACTGATGGAGGGAAACATGTCTGCAGAAAAAAAACTGTCTGCCCAAAAAAACTCTTGAAGGCTGAAGAGTTGCTGCCATTAATCTGCAGAAGTCTTGGTCTTCTTGTATAATGAGAGCAAGAACAGTGACCATCACATTGAACAACGCCCTCAGACATACAGTTTAATTTTTAAGTTGTCCTGCATGGAGCCAGGAACTGGGGAAGATAAAAGAAAGTTGAAGACATACCAGTACTCCTATTTCATTATGCCATAATTGTTAAGGGGTGTGACACCTCCTATATGAATTGGATAATATAGTCGCTTGTATATAATTCTTGGTTACCAGGAAGCTACATCTGATGTATTAATTATTGTGTGATAGTAAAGACATCCTCCTACCTTCCAAACATCCATTAAATAAATAAAACTAGTCAGCAACATGCATTATGCAAACATCTTCAAAAGGCCCCCTCAAATCACACCCTCGTAAACTCATTGGGTTTACAGTCAGGTCTACAGCCCTTGATTTGTCTTGGAGGTAGCCTTCACACACAGAAGTGAAAGGATATCATAACTGGGGACAGATGCCTTCATCTTTACACAGTATTTGAGGGTCCCTGCAAAAGCCACACGATGCACAGTGACAACTCCCTAGAAAGATCACTGGAGAGGGAAGTGAACAAAGCAGCAAAACAGTTCTCAGCACAAAAGCAAACAGCATACCAATCAGCACAACAAACAGGCAGGCAGACAAGCCAGAGCTTCCCACATCCCTGCAGCTTGATATGTTGTCTAGACGAGGATTTTAAAAATGTCTGTTTAGAAAATGTTGGATAAAATTCAGAATAAGGAGATCTTGAACTTTAGTTCAGCACAAAAGGTATTTAAAGTGCCTTGTGTGCACTTCATTTTTATACTCCGGATCCAGATGTTAAAACCTTGTTTTCTGTGGTATTGCTGCTATAGACAGGCTTTAGAAGAAGGTTCCAGTGGCAGCTTGAAGTGGTGTCCTAAGAACTGGTATCTGCAGCAAGTGCTCTGAAGAGCTCTTCTTGATTTTAGTGTCAGATCACGCACGTGAGTATGGTTACAAAATATTGTCTTAAATGTCTTAAACATCAGCTAAGTTCCATAAAGATTAGAAGTGGCAAACAAAGATTCCTGTGAATAAACTGCTGGAGTAACTTCTTGACAAAGTAAATGTACAATTCTTAAACTAGTATTTCTGTTTTCTTTGAATCTGATGAAAAGACATTCCTTGTCTTAGTCAAGAGAAGCCTAGAGAATTCCATCTATCTGCACCATCTCTCCCTTTATGTGCAGATTTATGGTACAAGTAATTAGATGCACTTCTTGTATAATCAACAAGCTGCATTAATTATACAGTTCAATTAGTTCAACTAATACAAATTCACATACCCAAGCATCTAGAGAATTGCAAGCAAGGCTGTAAAGCATCACATAGTTGCAACATCTTGACCTAAAACCTCAATTCAAAGGCCCTTCCTCTTCTGGAAATTAATCAGTATGTGGTTGTATCCAGCTGCTGATGAGTTATCTAAATTATTCATTATTTAGTAGTTCAGGGCAGGATGAAGCCTCTGAAATAGTCATGCTTTCAATCAACTAAATAGCATGTGTACAAAGAGACTCATATAAGCTCTAAGTCAACCCAGCCTTGCCATCTACTTGACAGCCACGTTTCCTGGGGTTGCTTAGATGGAAAAAAAAAAAAATAACCCTCTCTTTTTCAGAGGGAAGTAGTATGCTGCATTTGTTTGCAAATGCATATTTGGAATATAATAGCATCCTCCTCTTGCAGGGTGAAATATGCAGAGTTCTGTGGTATGGTTCTCCACTTGGAAATCAAGCGTTCAGGTTCCAAAACTCAATTTGGATCTCCTGCACGGGGAGGTGGAAGACCAAGGTATCTACTGCCAAGGGTAAAAAGGAACATTCTGGAAAATGAAATCAGGCTTTGCACAGTAGCTATCTTGTAGTCTACAGCCAGAGACAGTGCTCCTAAAATTTCACAGTTCCTGGAACCACTGAAGAGCTCCTCGGGGAGGGTCAGGCAGAGCCCGGCTCTCAGCTGGGGGCTCAGCACAACCAGCACGTGGTCATAATTCTCCGGTCTCATAGCACCATGCAGAAGTGTTGCTCGGACTATATTGCATCTGGCTTCACAGTCCAGCTGAAATCAAATTACTCGCTGACCCAACAGCATAAAAGCACAGTCTAGCAGCTGAGCAACCAGCAGCCCTCTCCCCTCCAGGGTTTACATTTTGAGGGCTTTTGGCTCTGTTTAAAGTAACATCGTAAATACCCCCTCTTCACTTGGAAGCTATGAAAGGTTTAATCATAGTGTGTTCTCCTTTCAGGCTGATTTCCTAAAGAAAGAAGGCTTATGCAGGCACAAACCAAGCACATCTGTAGCTTGTGAATCCCCAGTCAGCTCCAACCACAAATGAGCAAGGGACTCCACTGAAAATGGTACAGAGATAAAATAACAAACATCTCAGAGATATTAAAATCTCAAGGACATCAAGTTGCTCCATGTCCCCTTAAAAACAGATGGCTGCAGAGAGTACAGAAACCTAGCTGCTTTCCAGAAGGGCCACAAGAAAGCAGCCTCAGTATTAGGCAGCAGCTGGCTGTCTGCAGGGTCTTCCACACCCAACACCTTTGCTTGGTGCTCAAATCATGGAGGAGAGCTCAGATTACTGTCATTAGGGCAGATAGAGAAACAAGAGCTATGGAGGCAGCTCATCTGTGGAGTCAGACCTTAATTACTTCAACGCCTAGGACAACATCTACTTTTGGGTTAGCAGGGGCAGTGAGACATGGGGCAGGTCTGTATCTGATATCTACTGCACCATTCCCATGAGATGTGGCATTTTTTTTCCCCTGACTTTCCTTTTTATTTATTTTTTTTTTCTCCTCACAGTACCTGCAGAGATTCATGATACTTGTGTTCCAGACTGGCCTGCAATTGAGTGATGGTTTCTTCCAGCTGGAGCCCATATACTTGTTCTGCTTTGGGATCTGTTTTTTATTGATCATTCTCCTCAGCAGTTGAACAGTCTTTTTCCAGGGATAGATCTGTTTCTCTCCACAAATCTCTCCTGCAAGCTGAAATAGCGTGTCCCACAAATGACTCTGTATTTCATTAGGTACTCTTTAATGTCTCTAAAGTTACATGCAGAAGCCAGAGCTTTCAACTCTGTAATATAAATGTCTATTCCTTCTTCTGCTAGTTGATAGTGAGCTAAAACAATCAACTCACTATCTCTCTACAGCTCAGAGATGTCTGGATTCACAGCACACCTCAAGCACTCTTGCGGGCTGTTTAGTTATCCTGAACATCATTTAAAACTTACTTCTCAGAACTTTTTTTTTTTTTTTTTTAACCAGTGAGAGAGTATCTAAAAAGCTATCATCCTTCTCTCAACTCTTCCCATAGCACTAATGCTCCATACCAGCTCAGTCTTTGTTTCCAACAAGTTCGGCCAGCATCTGAAATCAAGCTTTCATCTAGTCCAAATCCTTTCATACCACCTCTATTACATCCTGTCAATCTCCTGCTTTGCTGCAGATCTCACTGAACTGGTAGCTGTCATTGCACCTTATATATCTCATGCTGAATAGTAGTATCAAAAGTCTTCAGACCTGTGAAATTGAAACTTGCTGTTCATTAAGAGAGTGACTTAAAACACATGCCACAATTATGGGTACTGCTTCACACAGCCTCCCAACACATCTTGGTGTTTTCTGTCAACCATAACTCTGTAGGCAGTGCTTTGTCCCCTAGATTCCCTCCAGCTGCTTCCCAGGACACACTCAAATAGTACAAAGTCATCTTTCCAAAAGCTGCTAGAAGCAGTGGAGCCAGGGATGTCACACAGCACACCCTAGAGCAGCATGCCTTTTTACAGTGCAAGAAGGCAGATGAGCACACAGTGCAAGAGGTTGATTTCAAGGTGGTACATCAGCAAGGACTGTATCAAAGACCATAAAAAACAGTGGGAGTTTTCCCACTGGTTGTCAGGACAATGCTTAGAGCACAAGACCTGAAGTTGAACAGAACTATGCTGAAAAAATGAGGCAAGACATCCACTTTGATGGAACGGGGCAGGGGGCAGCCCCACACTGCAGGAGGAGGCAGAGAGTAGCAACTTTATGGGGACAGTAGAAAGGAAGCAAAGACACTGGCAAGGAAATGATTCTGGCATGCCACTGCAGGAGAGAGTTCAGCTATTCATGATTAATTCAGCTGTTACACCAGAGGTCTCCAGTGAATACAGAACCTTTGCTGTGAGCCATAAGATTATTTATTTCTCTTCTGAAAATTACTGTTTCTGTGAAAAAAAATGCAATAAAACATGTTACTCTGGAAACTGACTGTGGACAGATAAACTATTAAAAACCACTAACAAGAATCATCAGCTTATTCACCTCCCATCCCTGATAACAAGAAAGTTAGGGTTAAATTCAAGGGACTTTCCTAACTTTAGTTATTTGAAGCAGAGCAGTAGCTTTCTAAATCAGGTCCTGGCTTCTAGCAGCCGTGACTTTTCCCCTTAATCAGCTGGAGGCTGCTTTGCTTTCACTGGCACTAAGAACAAATGAAGCACAGTTCAGTGGGTATACAGTTGTGTATATACACCATCTCTGTATTTGCATGATGTTTCAGAGTCCAATCCCGATGCTTGCAAAATGATGTCCACTGACACAATGCATTTAAATAAATAGCACTTGCTTTTCCTAAGATGAATTTACACAAAAGCTTTCATTTGTCTGTGTGCATGCAGAGTAAGTTCTGTGATACCACCCTACAAGCTTTCCTATGTCCTAAAGAAAAAGGTATCTACAAGCCCCACACTTTGGCAGCTATCACTGCTGCCTTCACCCCCAATTCCAGTTCCTACATTTCTGCACAGCACTGGCCCCAGCTCTGAGAACAGTTCTTCCTTCAGCACAATCTGTTTGCAGAGATATGCAGTTATTAAATCCCTGCAGTGTCCCAAGCGTGTTTCTTGCACACACAGAATATTAGTATCATTGTGGTCCTGAGAAAGGTGACAACTCTGACTCTCACTTCATCATCATTCTTTTAAATACTTGGTCACTACAAGAAACTCTACAGACGTATCCACAAAGCTTCGCCTTACAGCACTAGTTTTAAATATTTTTCCTTCAGTTATCTACAGAACTAAATTGCAAGACTAGAGTGAATTAAACTGCAAAATGCCCAAGTTTTGACATCTGACATTTTGCCCAAAAAATGAAAGCTTTATTTTTAGCAATGTGGATAATTTCTTGTAGACAATTGAAGTTCCTTTCGTTGCACGATTTGAAGCTTCATTTTTGGAGGTGTAAATGTCTAAATAAGGTCATGAATAAAACCAACTAAGGCTGTTCTTGGAAAAGAGTGCACAATTTAGAAGATGGTGCCTGCACACCTAACTTTGGAAGCGTTGTTACTAAGTCAAAAACTGCCAGAATAATTCACACCAAGCCACTGTTCACAAAGAGAACAAATCTACTTCAATGAGCCAGGAGAGTGAGATACTGAAGAGGCTGTCTTGATCCTTCACTGGCTGTTTCTACAACTTATGGATGCCACAGCCAGAGGGATTGATGATAAAACACACTGATATCTATAGGACATCTGTGATAATGATCCTGCTGTATGTAGGTCACTCCTACAAAAGCAATGCCTCTTACTTCCATGAAAACTGCAACAGACAAAAAGCACAATAGCACCATTTGATAGCACAAATTCTTAACTACAAACACTATTTTTCAACACAGTCATCACCACTAGCAAAACCATTTTTGCCAGGAGTGAACAAGAGCCTGCATGCCATGCTTGTCAAAATCTGAAATAAGGATGGCAGTTTCACAGCTGCTACAATAGCATCCATATTATAGGAAAAAGTTGCCCATACAGTCCATCCTCCATTGACCCAAACAGAGGGAAGTTAGAAGGCATCAAATCCAAACTATGCAGTGAATGTGGTAGGACAGTCCAGTCAAAACTGGCAATGTGCTCCACAGTGCTTAAACTGGTGCAGGGCCTGATGTTGTCTTCTTCTCTGGCCTGACTCTGGAAGTTTGAGCCTTCAGCTTAGTTGGTGTTGTGATGTACGAGTCATATGATGGTTTATCTGGGTTCCAGGAAATCCAGAAGGAGCTCTCCTGCCCTATCCCAGAAGGCTGCACATTAATTTACCTGCTGAGTCTTTTTCTTCAGTGGGAAAGTCACATGTCATCACTCCATGGACTGTTGTTTTGACACATCTTAACAGGAAACTTTCAGCCTTGTATTTACTCAGTAGATCCTGACAAACTTCCATACAGTATTTTTTCTGGTCCTGTGTGAACATCCCACCTGGAGCAAACTGCAATATTCTAATGCTGGAGCTATCATTTCCAATGCACTGAAGCCGATATCCAGTTCCATACTCAGTTCCCTAATTGTAATCCACTGATTCATGAGAACAAGCTGAACAAGAAGCACTTCATTTCAGTGTGACATGGCTTGCCTTTCTGTGTCATCACTGTTGAAACACACCACTCACCACCTCACCGTGTTCACATCCACCGTAGTCTCCATAAACATTCAGCAAGCAGTCATGAATGTCAGTGGGTACAATTTTCTCTGCATGCATGAATTCAATGACACCCCTTTGCTTCATATACACTTCCACATCACATGTCATTTTGTCAGACCGCCCCTCTGCTGCCAAGGTTTTTATTAATTGGAAATTTGTCTCAAGCACTTTGCAAAGACTTAAAGATACAACTTTAAGTGTCACAGAGACTTCAGCAGGAGACAAGTGTTGAACCACAACCCAGTCAGAGGATTTCTTGGAAATACAATTTTAAGAAAAGTGTGTGCTGCCTTTATGAAGCCAATGGGTTATGAAACCAGGAACCAGGAACAGCTGTAGTCTGCCCGAGGTGGTGTGGAATTGGACCTGCCATATGTCAGTGGGGCTCATCTATGGAAGCATCTCTATTATCACTGTGCACAATTCCAATATTTTGTACTGAACTAGAGATGCCTTTCCCCAGAGACATGGCTTGGCTTTACACCAGCGTATGGTACACTCTGTCCTGGGATTAAGAGAGAAGTCACACATTTCGGTATTAAACACAAGCGTTAGAAAGGCTGCTGAGGAATATGCAGGTCCGCAGGAAAAGCTTTGGGGAGCACTTTGATTAGGAATCATTTACAAGCCACAGTTCTTCTACCACTTCCTTCCTTATTCAGGGAAAATGATTTACAGAAGCATCAGTACCAAATCCTGACACTTTCCAGTCCAAGTTAGGAAGACTGGTAGGGAATCACAGTTCTTCCTTCCTAGTTTACAAACCATCTGCACACACACAGGGAGAGGGTGGATGCACCCCTAAGAAGTCCTCTTTCTTCTTTACATATATGCATGGACTATGTCATAAACCCATGCCTCCTCCATCCTCCACTTTTTTTTCCCCCAACAAAGTTCTTACCCAGATACCACTGTTAATTTATGGGTGGGGTCCTGTTGCTAATTGCTGACTTCTCACTGGCAGCAGTGCATCTGTAAAAGGTTGATGTCCAGATTTATAAAGAATGTATTTCTTGGGGCAGTTTAGTAATTAGGTAAAATCCACACAAATAAACATTTAACCATTTCGGCACCAAGCACTCTAAAGCTGGTTATAGTTTGGCCAGGCCAGTTCTTGCACCTGCCTGAAGATCAGCTGCTGTTCTTGCTCTGGATCAACACAAGTGGGACAAGCCAAGCCACTTGGCACTTACCTCTGAGCCAGGTTCATGTGACATTCATAGACTGAATAGTCTCATATCTAACTACATCACAAGGCCATATGGAGTATGTCTAGAGCACAGCACAAGAACCATGAACTTCTCACAGAGTAAGGTCTTATTAAGTCCAAGAAAGGGGGTCATAGCCCATGCAATCGCAAATATGAATTACATCACATCCTTGTATTCCACATACTGCCTCCTCATCAAAAGCCGTTAGTAATTGCTAACACTGTTAATAAAGTAAATAAAACTTGGTTTGGGTTGCAAGTGTATGTCTGTCCTTGTCACTGGTAAGTCTTCTTTCTACTTGTCTGATAACACAAAATAGTCTTAAAATCACTTAAAGTAGCTCATTATAGATTTTCATAGGAAACGGAATTGTGCATTTTTATGCACAGGAGTTGTTGAACTACAGTAAAGGAGTTAATTAGCGAACTAAGGTCAAAAACTATGAATTATTTCTATTGTAACCCTTATTCCACAAGCAGACAAATTTGACAGCTCAGTTCCCCAAACATTCTTGCCTTTTTCCCCTGCTCTTCATTTTATTTAAACACATTCCTGAATCTACAGCCTTCTCCCCAGCAAATTTTCAGCATTTGCAGCATTCTCAGCTTCATACGCTTTCAGTTACTAATTTCCAATCTACTCATTCTGACCTTTCAGGAAAGTTTTTTGATAATGTGAGAAAGTGTCATTGGAAATTATTTCAGAGCAGAGAGCAGCTACACACTCCAACTTAATATTTTAAGTTAACACTAATGGAAGCTACACCTTTCAAAATGATACAATGATTTTAACTATTTAAAAACCAGACCCATCATGTTTATTTAGATAAGTGCTCCTCTGCTCTCATAAGTGGAGGCTGATGACAGATGTGTTTTTAAGGCAAAAATATTAAGTCTAGAAATGTCAGCATCTGCTTCTTTTCAGCCCAGCCTTACGGATTCACACATCATTTTTCATCCACAAGGAGAGTTTCTTTCTTCTTACAGAGAATCTAAAAACATGAGTGTAAATTACTAATCCCAAGGCCTGACAGTTTTATTAGCATGTCACTGGTGCTACACGTGTTAGGTCTGATTAGACACACAGAGCTGCTGGTTTCCATGGCCTGCTCCTTGTGGGATGAGGAAGGCTTTCACTTCCCCTGCAGGAACTTTCCAACTGACTACTCCTCCTCTGTGAATTGGTATTTGCTCAAGAGATGCCATACAAAAGAACTGTATGTAGGTGGTACTGAAGAAAGAGAGAAGAAAAAAAAAAAAACAAAAAAAAAACAACACAAAGCAAAATTCTCTACAAAAGTCAAGAAAAAATTCCAGCCTTCCTCACAGTTATCATGCTATTCTTCCTTTTCATGTACTTTATATGGTATCTGTTGTGCTTTTAATCATCTACACAGTAATGATGGTAGCATATGTAGTAGATGAAGCTATGTGGCCTTGTCACTACACCCGGAGAAGACCTCCTAGGCTTTACTCTATATAACAGCAGAGCACTGTGGAGTCAGGTTGCATATTAGAGAAATGCAAGTCACGTTTATCTGTTCTTCAAGGACAGTTGTATACAACCAGACCACGAAACCTCTGCACAGCTTAATAGAAGGCTGCTGCCATTAGTAGTGTAAGATAAATCATCTATCAATTAGAGCAAAAGACCAACTAGAGGAAATTAGAGCTGTAAGAATGGACCACACTAGCTAAGAAGACTCACTGAAAAGACACACAAAAGTCACATACTCATCACTAGCCCATGCTACTTGAGACTTTTTGAATATCCAAGTTGGTGTTACAGCTAGAAAAATTGTCACGGTGGAAATGGGAAAATAAACAAAGAGGGAAGGAATGCTCACCTGTACCCAAAGATGTAGGTTCACAGAGAGATCTCCAGCAAGAAATCCTTCCTCAGTGGCAGTCAGTCCTTAAATGGGGTCTAGGAGAGGTGCAGCCAGCTCCACCACCAGCTGAATTGCCTTCACCTGTGCTCCCATGGCTGACTCAATGCTTGCCTCAGGTGATCAATCAGTGGCTCAGGCCATGATTCAACAGTTCCCATACACGTACTCATCTCTAACCTATGCCACTTGAGACTTTTTCAATATCCAAGACAGTACCATAAGTAACACTCAAGATATTCCCAACATAATAAAAGATTTTCTACTGGAGACAATGAGGGCTTCTCAACAACATATAAAATGCCCAGGACAAATAACCAAATGCTGTCCTACCCAGAATAGTAGCTGTTCTCTGTAGCCAGCTATCTATATTTCAGAATATTCTCCACTTACTATCCCAGACATTTCAGTGATGGTAAGACCACTGTGGATGCACAGGAAGCTGCTGACAAACCTCTTTTCCCATTCTGAGCAGGTTAGAGATGAAACATCATTTATGGCTAGCATGCAGGCCTCCCTGGCTCAACAGCATGGTGCCACACCTGAGATAATATGTCCCAGAAAGGGCAGACCATGGGCTGAGAGCTTGATACTGCATACGTCTGCTAGAGGTGCAAGTACAAAGCACTGCCACTAAATGACACAGCAAAATTTTCCAGCTTTCCTTGGAGTGAAAGAGTACAGATCTGCTGTAAGAATAACTAATGTACTTATATAGATGTGAACTACGTGAGGTGAGATTTAAGCATGTACTAAAAAGCCAAAAGACAATGTTCTTGCCTGAGCAGATTTAACATTTGAATAGACAGCACCAAAACAAAGCTAGGGGAATGAATGGGAAGCAGCTTGACAAAGCTGCGCATATGACTGTCCTGCAAGCTTTGTGATTTCTTTATTTGCTCACATACTTTCTTCAAGTTATCTTGCCCTTGCTCTTTGGCAAAAACATATTTTTACAGATGGGGCTAAAAATAGCAAGGGATGATAGAAGCAGAGGACTGAAAAAGGCAAGAGTTGCCAAGGGAGCCTGCATGAGTTCTCTGCAATTCTATCTCCAAGTTAAACTGATATCAGGACAGCCATTGCTATGGACTCTCAATTTTTCTTTTTCCTGTTGGTGACAAGCACTTCTGTTATTGAGCATGCCTAATGTTTCTGAACTCTTAATTTTCAGAATCAATCAAATATTAATTTTTTAAGAAGTTATTTTAACTGACAGCAAGCTGGTATTTTTAAAATAATATTACAGAGTCTGACTGGCAACTCCCTTTGTAGTTCAAAGTCTCTACAGGGACTTTATTTTCAAATTAATTTTATGTTTTCATTAGAAGAAAATGCTTTTTCTCTCATGAATATTCAGATTGCAGAAGAAGATAAGCTTGAATTTTTTGCAAGTGTTAGCATAACTCAGCCAAATCTTGGTTAGGATTTGCAAAAGATTGTATTTTGAGAAGATTAGATTAAAAGGTTATTCTCCGTTTGGGGACTTCCATTTCACCCAAGGCCTCTAAATCATGCAGTAAGGTTGTCCAGATTGTAATCTGCAAGTGCAAACTGTCTTCCCCTACACTAATTAGGTTTTGGGTTTTTTTTGCAAAGTAGAAAGCAATCCAAATCTACTCAAAAGCCTACTGAAGGAAGGAAAGTTTTGCAGAGGTTTTCAGTGACGGAGGACAGCTATCACCTTCCAAGTGCCGGGTGCTTTCCAGGTGACATTAGAAAGAAAAGTAGCCTAGGAGAGGCAGAGTAGGTCACAGAGCTTGGCACAGGCATAACAAGGTTTCTTCCTTAGGCAAAAATGAAATGGAAGAAGCAAAATAAGAATGAAGAGCAATTCATCAGAGAGCATCCCTCAGAGTGTTGCCTACTTCTTTCATGAATCATAGAACAGCTTAGATGATCTAGTTCCAACCCAATGCCATGGGCCACGACACTGAAAGAGGTGCAAAAGGACTGTCAAATGAAGATACAGAAAAAAATGTAGCATTCTTTCTGGAAACACCATGATTTGTGTGTGTGTTTGTGAGACTTTCACCTACTACTCTCTTCTGTTTTAAACAATCCGTGTAAACCCAAATAAATGTAAAGAAAAAGGGATTATTTTTCAGTTCCATCCTCCCACCCCCCAGCTCTCCTCCCAAATGTGAAACACTTGCTTAGGAAAGGCTCTTCTTCAAAGCTAAATGAAATCTTCTCTGTATTACCCCCTCCATCCCTGGCCCTCTCAAACATTCTTAATTAATTTTACTGCTGCTTTCAAAGAGCTCTCCAAGTTGGCTCAAATCCCTTTGGATCACATATCAGCATTAGCAACAGAAGATATATTACCACTTTCTCTTTCCCCTCCTTTTCCAAGAGGAAGCAAGGAAGGATGATCAGTCACGTTACCACTGTAGAGTATGAGCCAACTACTGTATCTGAAGCAGACTCTGGACTCCTCATGTGTAAATTTTATACAAACTCCTAACATGATAATGCTACATTTGGGGGGTTGGTTGGTTGTATGGTGTTATTTTTTCCCTGGAAGTTTAGCGTTTTGTGCGGTTTTTTTTTCTTTCTTTTTCTTCTATAGGAAATTCTAAAAGAATCTGTCTATTCTGTAATGATATCATTATGTCATGACAGGTCTGAATTACTTTTTTATTGTTATTATTACTTCCTCCTTCTACGTTTACTGTAAATCTCACAAAATTAACTCAGATTTTTCAAAAGCACCAGAGCTCTCACATAGATACAATGGACTCTATGTAAGCAAGGCCTCAGACAGGATATTTCCTAAAGCAGGGATTTCTCAAGAAGAGTCCAGGAGCTTTCCGGAGCAGTCAATGCAGGCATTATGGCCAAATTCACACACAACAGAGGAAAATGCCATTCTAATACAGGCAATTTGAACAGTGAAATAGCAGGTGCTTATACCAAGGCTAAATTCAACACAAGTGATTTTAATGGATTCTTTTTCAGAAGTAATTATTCACTTTGTTCCTAAAAGAGTGAAAGAGAATGGAAGGAAACAAGAAAATAAAACTGTACAGATGTCAGGCACTCATTAAGGGATTCTTCTGTTGTAGTGCAAATTCTTTACAGATTGCACCAAAATTTTGTCCCATTTGCAAAATCATGACAATAAATAGAGAAAAAGCACTTTTTCTCCCCAGAGACAATTTTTTTTAATTGCAAACAAGGCCTCAGATTGCTATTTGAGTGAGATACAATGAAGTGGTATTTGCAACTGTTTTCAAATGCAGTAAACCAATAATTTTTTTTATTTTTTTTTTTGCCTACTGTATATGTTGAAGATAAGCACTGAAGCCCTCCTCCAGCAAAAGTTAGAAGAAGTAAGTCTATCATAAAATCAACAGTTAACATATTCTTAAATAAATGTTTCACTTGTGAAATTTCAAAGGAAAAAACAGTTCTTCCCTTTTCTTGTTCCCACCAGTAACACCAAAAGAAATCTGCAACTTCCACTTCTCTACGTTTCTAATCAACCAAGTTGAAGATAGTTCCTACATGGAGTGATTTAGCAAACGGAAGTGAAGTAAATGGAGTGGAAAGGCTGGAAAACGGCAGTAAACTCTTGCCTAGAAAATGTTTATTTGAACTTGAAAGTTAAAAATGTAAAGTGTCAAACTGAGACATGCTGTTGGGAATTTGGCTGTTGCTGAACAACCCGCCTCTGTGGCACTTCCTTGTTAGGAATCTTCAATATGAGCAAAAATTCTTCTCTGATTCATCCTTGCTGTCTCACTATTAGTTGAGAAGATAATTTTTAATGAATCCTTTAAGTTCTTTCCTTAGACCCTTTTGGAAAGCCAAATGCCCTCACCATTGCAAACTTGGAATAAATGTTGCCTCTTATACATAGCCTCAAGAGTGCAGCTCAGAGAAATACAGATGCATCATAAAGCTCTCAGGAGTAACTTCTCCTGATAAAGCCTTAGTTGTGGGCACATTTAAGCAGGAACACAGAACTCTACTAGCATCCAGTGGAGATTAATCAAACAAGATTTCCAGCACAACTACATGCCATGAGTCTCTTCTTTTTGCTGTCTCATTTAACTTTTCTCTTTTCCTTCCCATCTTCAGAGATTTGTGTTTTTCACAGAAACACTTAAATTGACTTTCAAATCTCATGTTGCAGATCCAATCCCCCTCTCCTGGGTTGCCCTTCCCTCCTTGGTGACACTGAAAATGCTACGAAGCTGTTTGTTCAGCAACGAGCCTGAGTGAGCACCAGTAGCAGCAATTCATTCAGCAATGCTGGGTTCTCCCCTGGGTTCCCAGGAATCTTTAATGCAGCCTCAGCAACAGGAGGGCAACATGCAGCTCTGCAAGCCAGCCCTTCAGCCAAATCCTCCTACCTCCATGCCACCCTGGACCTTTGTTTTCTCTTGCTCAGCTCTCTGTTCCCCAGGAGCTGATTAGTCAAGACCATTAAATAGCTCCATGGAGTTAGGAGCTGTAGGTTTAATTAGGAAACTGCTTGCATGTACACAGGAGATTTCTTCTGAGCATCTCCAAACACCTATAGCAATCCAGTAAACAGCCATCCATTTAACTCCAAGGGAAACTGAGATAGAAGAGGCTTATGAACAAGATGTCCTTGCAAACAAAACTAATTGCAGAGAGGTTTGCAAACAAGGTGTCTTTGCTCACAAACTTGTACAGAAGTTTGCAAATTCCTCTCTGCTTGGCGCCTGTAAACCCTCACCACATAAGGCTTCAGTTACAAAGGTCAATCGACAACTTGAACTTATGAACTTTGAGCTTACTGCACAGGCTTAATAAGCTAATTAATATTAGCAACTCTACCCTGGGCAGCATGAAGTTAATCATACTTGCAATCTATGGCACACAGGGGGGTCACATACTTGGGGGAACATGTATTAGGAAAATGGGGATGTCTAATCTCCATGTACTTCAGCCAATGAGGAAAGGAGGAGTGATAATACAGTCAGGAAGAAGGAGAAAAAAGAGGTGATTCATC